CCCCTCGCCGCGCTCCGTCTGCGGCCGCCGGCCGGTTCCCGGCAGCCCCGCCCCTCTCAAGGCCCCGCCCCTCACGTAGGCCCCGCCCCTCGCGCAGGACCCGCCCCTCGAGGAATCTCCTCGCGACTCGCACACGTCCTCTGCCGCCTTGAGGGAGAAGGTGCAGCCTGGCCGGAGAAAGTGGGCGGCTTGGGCGGACTGGCAGTAACCCACAGCGCCCCCTTTTGATTAGGAGGACCGACTACATCAGTTGGGTTGCAGTATGCGTTGAGCGTCTGAGTTTACCAAAAACTGACCCTTGGCTGAGGAAAGGGGGGAATAAGAACTATGAATAGGAGCTTCATGATTCTCTTTATCCTGAATGGGCGATTTTTCTCCCTTTTACACTGGGAGATGACTCTAGAGGCAGTACATTGTTGTTCTAAGTCTGCATTTTCCTCTGTATTTACTTCTGAGGTGCTGTCATCCATTTTAATGGTTTTAACGAACACTGATGTTTACAAAAGTTGTATCTCAAGCTTTCAACCATTCCTTGAACTTCAGATTTGTATATTTAACTATGTGCCCTTGGCATTTTTACTTAGATGTCAAATTAGCATTTTGGACTTAACACATGCAAAAATAAGTTCCTGAACACCTTCATGACTGCACTTTTGTTCAGTTTCATCTCCACCTTTCCGAAGTGTGCTTTGGTTAGCTGTGACTCCTTTCTCTCATACTCTTCATCACGTTTCTCAGCAAATTCTCCTGACTTTCTCTTCTCTCCACTTCCACAGTGGATTGAGTCACTATTATCTGTAGCCTGCATTATGGTGATAGCTGACTAACTAGGCCATCTGCTTCCGTTCTGCTTCCTCTTTAATCCCAGAGTTGTTTTTCAAGGCAATGAAAATTATCTGTTAACGAGTCAAATCAAATCATATAGCTGCTCTGCTCAAACTGTTCCAATAGAGTTTCACTTCTGAGGATAATGGACCAGTCCATTTGGGACCTGCACTGTTGCTAACATTAGAAAAGCAGGAAAAATTAAATAAATGTTAACATGTTCTTTGCTTGAAAGCATCAGGGTACTTCAAAGGCAGCAAGTACTTGGATGACTACAATCTCAGAAAGGATGTTCCAGAAAGGATTTCCCATGGGTTAGTGGTGATTCTATAGCAATAGCCAAACAGTTGGCAAAGTAAGCAGATTCTTCAGCATCTAATGAGATGAGAAGAGACTGGAGTTTTGGCTCCATGAAAGAAAAGGTGCCAGTAAACTGTCTGGGCTTCAGGACTCTGAAGGGCTACGCTCTTGGAGCACCAGTTAAAGGGAAATAGAGTAGCCCTTGCGAGGACTGCCAGCCACTCTGGAAAGGCAACAGTAAATTCCCTTTTGGTGCAATCTACATCATCTAGAACAATGCTGTGTTTATGCAGTATTTTATACATAATGCTGTACTCAATTTTAAAATAAACACAAAAGAGTTATCTTTAAAGCTAAAAACAGGAGCCAGCAAAATAGCTCAGTGGATTAAAATGCTTGCAAGTGGGTACAGGGGCCAGGGGTTCAATTCTGGGGCCTGCTGTGCGGGCCATGAGCCCAGGGCATGCTGAGACAGCAGTTGAGACTAGATGTGGTAGTGAGCACCTCTCATCCCAGCTCTTGGGAGGCTGTAAACAGGCAGATCACTGCGAGTGTGATCTAGTAGTGAGACCCTGAACACCTTGTAGAACCTTCATATATATGCTAAGAATGAGAAATCCATGGACAATCCACAGATTGAAGTTTAAAGGTAGTTAAAAGCAGTTCTGTTTACTGTCTTTAAAAAGTTAAATGACAAGTTAGAAAGTTTTAGTGAGAACTGGAAATTCCAAAGAATACAATATTTTTAGAAGTTGAACTAAACACACTCACAGACACACAGACACACAGACACACACACACACACACACACTAAAATCAGCATGGTGTAATGAGTTTAATAATTGGTCATATGCAATTTTGGCATGAATTAGTGAACCAAGTAATGCCAAACAAAATATACACAATTGAACAGCAGAGATGAAAGGATTTAAAGTTCAGACAAGAGAGAAAAGCACACATGCTATATTGTAAAACATTCTAACACACACGTGATTGGAGTATCAGGATAGAGAGAATAAGTGAATAGAGGCAATATTTGAATAGGCAATGGATGGAAAAATTTTCAAAACTAATGAAGAAATCAGAGGTAAGAAACATGATTATCATGCAGAAAACCATAGGTAGGCATGTCACAGTAAACTACAAAGAAAATAAAGTTTAAAAGGCAGAGAAAGCAAATATATATAAACTACCAAAGAACAACAATAAAACTGAGCGTATTTTCAGAAAAAACAATGGTAGCCCAATCACCTTCAACTAGGTTTATAGCTCATGGAATAAG